CCCTCACCAGAGCCTGGTCCTGTTACAGACTCCTCAGACTTCCAGCTTCCAGAATGATGGGTAATTCTGTGGTTTGTATGTCACCCAACCTGTAGCATTTTGTTACAGCCTCCCCAAAGAACTGACATGTGAATGCACAAACTTCTCGCCCACACCTTTGCTGGAGTCTCAAGGAAGACTGTGGACTGGTGGTCCTTGCACATGTGTCACATGGTAACCCAAGTGCCCTGCATGTGTGCACAGCCCACAGCCATGTCCTCATGCCCAGAAACCTCCAAGAGCATCATTAAAAAGCTTCTCTTATCCTTCCTGTTTACAAAAACAAAAACTTCAAAAACTCCATCATCTATTTAGATACTCTGAAAAGTCTGTCTTAGAGCCTAGAGCCTGGGAATGTCAAAGTGCTAGTTAAGTTTTTAATCAACTCTGAAGGAGAGTATTAAGAGACCTTTTCAAAGGTGAGCAGCTGATGACAGGCTCAGAAAACGGCTGTCAAAGGGACGCCTGTGGGCGGGTCTCCGTCTCTTTGGCCTCAAGTAAAAATGGAGACTCCAGGGCTAACCCACGGTGGGGTCCCTCAAGGCTCACCTATTTGTGTTTAGGCCTCTGCAGGAAGCTGTGGGTAAACTGAGTGACACTGGAGCCATTAGGCAGGAAAGCAAGGTCTCAGGAACTCTCGGGCACAATCCCCTAGCTGAGAATGCCTAGTTCAAGGGGTGCCCTCTCCTAGCTCACCCCTCAAGTTCAGGCTCAGCTCCCCAGATGGGAGGAACCAGCTTGAGCCAGACAGCCTCTGGGACATGGGTGTGGCTTACCAGATGCCAATCAGCCTGTTTACTGCAAAACCCTGCTGCCCAAGAAGTACCAAACGAGACTCCTCCCACTGGAGCCTTACACCTGCCTTTGAGGTGCCCCCCTACTTTCTCAGTTGTTCGGTTCCGGCTCCTATCAGGACTGGAAGGCCCATCAGGTGCTCCGCTTTTTTAAATCCCATCTCCGGCTTTATCTTTTTTTCTTATGGATTATTTCAGACTTTTTATTTTCCTAGGCGACTCGCACCTCCTGGGCAGGAACCTGCTCTGATGGTTTCAGCCGGGGCCATGGGCTTAAACAGGATTCCTGTGCCAGTGATTCACAACGAACAGCTCCAGCCAGACTCACCCCCAAACCCAACCCCAAACTGTGTACCGTCTAGTCGGCATCTCCACTTAAAGTCTAACAGCCACCCAAACCCACTATTTTGTTCAGCTTTTTTGCTGCTTTGACTAAAAGACCCAACTAGAACAACTGTAGGAGAGGAAAAGTTTATGTGGGGCTCACAATTTCAGAGATCTCAGTCCATAGAAGGCTGGCTCCACCCCTTGGGGCTGGAGATGAGGTAGATCATGGTGGAAGAGTGTGGTGGAGGGAAGCAGCTCACGTGATGATCGGGAAGATAGAGACAGACTCCCACTCGCCAGATACAAAATACAGACTCCAAGAGTGCACCCCCAGGGACCCGCCTCCTCCAGCCACACCCTGCCCGGCCTTTGGTGACCACTCAATGAATCAAATCAGGGGGTTACTCACTGATTGGGTGAAGATTCTCATAACCCAATCATTCCCCCTCTAAATCTTCTGGCATTGTCTCACACATGAGTTTTCAGGGACAACTGACATCGAAGCTAGAACATTCCACCCCTGGCTCCCAAACTTATGCTCATCCCACAGTGCAAAATACGTTTAGTCCATTTACAAGAGCCCCCCCGCCCCCGTCTCAATGGTTCAAGATTGGCCAGAACTTCAAGTCCAGTCTCCTCTGAGACTGAGGGCAAGCTTGCTTCACGAGCTCCTGTAAAACAAAAGTGATCCACAAATACCCAAAGTCTAAAGGTTCAGAGTAAACATTCCCATTCACAAAAACAGGGGCACAGAAAGAAGGAATGGGACCAAAGCGAGAATGACATCAGCTGGTCAAATAAGTCCCGTAGCTCCACAGATCTGGCATCTGGGGCACGTGGCATGACACTCCGCCCCTGTGGCCTTACTGGTTGCAGCCCAGGTGGTCTTTCTGTTGGCTTGTCTTGCTCCATTCCTGAAGCCTTTCTCAGCAGCCGTTCCATGGTACCGGCATTTCTTAATCCTGGGGTCTCTGCTGCAGCTCTGACTGCCTCACCCCTCCCCACGCACTGCCCTCTCAGGAGGTGCCCACGGGGACTCTGCACTCGCCTGGCCTCCCTTCGACTTCTTGGTGCAAGCCTCCTTGACCCCCTAACTCCAGCATCCTGCATTCCTGCAGAACCAGCACCGCTTGGTTGAGGCCCAGGTCTGATGCCATCTTGAGCAGTCTCCAAACCTCCACGGACCCTGGCTGCAGGGGCCTCGCAGTGTCTGGATGGCTGAGCATGTTGAAAAAAAACTTCCTAGGCCCCCCCCATGCAAGAAGGTGCCTCACTGATTTCAAGAGAATTTTTACTTCCTCTAGTTTGAGATAAGTTTGGTGTTGCCAGCTCCTGAAATGCCCTCAAACCATCTTTTTTTTAATCATCTCTGGGCAGAGCCTTCAGCACTGTTTTAGTGGCTACAATGTCTCTAACAACTGCACCTTCCTTGGCCCCAGTTTCAGTTTACTTTTCAAGTCCAACTTTTTCAAATCTTTCTGCTCTGCTCTCTGCTCCTGGAATCACCCTAAATTTGGCTAAAAGCCACCAGCAATATCCATGACACTGCCTGAATATGACGCTGTCTAGAAATCTCTTCCACCAGATTAAGAAGCCCATTGCTTTTAAAAATCAACCTCACAAAAAGTTGTGGACATGGGCAAAACACAGACTGCTTTTCGGCTAGAACATAACACAAATGGCCTCTAATCCAATAGTGTCCTCCTTTTCCTCTAAACCCTCCTGAGCCCCGTCTTCACTATCGGCACCTGGTCTTCTGGGCTCCCACCAGCATTGGCCATTAACCTCAGTTTACAACAACCTCAAGTATTTCCAGCTCGCACTGCTAAGCATCTCCAAATTCCTCCCACCAATTCCAAAAAGCTCCAAAAGCTTCTGAAACACGTGGTCAGGTTGGTCACAGCAATGAGGCCACTTCTGAGTACCAGTTTCTGTTTTAGTAGCTTTTTTGCTGCTGAGACTCAAAGACCTGACAAGAACAACTTTAGAGGAGGAAAAGATGATTCTGGGTCCCACGGTTTCAGAGGTCTCAATCCACAGACAGCGGGTTCATTGCTCTGTGTTTGAGGTGAGGCTGAACATCAGGGTGGAAGAGGGTGGCAGAGGGGAGCAGCTCACATGGTGACCAGGAGATGAGAAAGGTCTCCACTCACCAGACACAACACATGTGCCACAGAGGCACGCCCCCATGACCCACCTCCTCCACCGACATTTCCAGTCCTGCCCCGCAGCCCTTCTCCTCTCAGCCAACCACAGCACCACCCTGGAGCAGATCAGCCCTGAGCCTCTGCACACTCCTGAGTCCTGTTCTCTCACATCCAGTCCTTCAACAAATCCTGTTGGCCCCACCCAAAATGGGCCCCCTTCTTGCCACCTCTGCCCTGGTCTGAGCCATCGCTGTCTTTGACCTGGATTCTGCAGTGGCTTCCACCTGGGACCCCCTGCTTCCATCCTCACCTGTCCTGGGTCTGGTCTCAATTCAGCACCTGGACAGAGCCCATTAAAGCTCAGATTGAGCCATATGCTCCTTCATTAAAACCCTGCAATGGCTTCTCACCCACCAAGCAAAACTGGAAGTCCCTTAAGGCCTCCGAGTTCCAGCTAAGGGCACATCACCTTCCTCACCTTCCTAGTACCTCTATTCTCTCCCCACGGCTCTACGTTCTGTGCCCACACTGGACGCCTGCCACTCTCCACAGGTGCCAGGCAAGCTCCTGCCGCAGGACCTGAGCATAGGCTACCATTTCCTCTGCCCTGCCGAGCAGATAAGGGATGGGTCACTGTGAACTCCTGAGGATGTGGGAAATAAATCACCTGGGGTGCTCCCTGGAGAAGACGAGTGCTCAAGCCCAGGTTTCTAACCGGTGATGGTCAGAAGTTGAGGCACTGAGAATGGAGGGAGTCGTGGAGGAATGGCAGGCAGGATTGTCACCAACGTCATCCTGGCTCACGAGGTCCAAGCACTGTACAGAAAGCTTCGTGGGTATTTGACATATCATTTAATTCTCAAATAAGCCAGGCATAGCTTCACTCACATCTCATCAATGAGAAAACCAAGGTTCAGGGAGTTCAAGCAATTTGTGGAGACAAACTCAGTGGGTGGCGGAGCTGGAATTCCAAAAAGTGCCCCCGGAGCTTGGTTCCTCTGTGGGCTTGTTTTTATATATATTTTTATTCTTACTACATGTAACTCCTCTAGAAGAAACATACATTAATTCTGAAATAAAAACATCAGAAGTCCCTCCCCCCCATTAAAATAAATCCAGGGACACAAAACAAGTCACTCTTCAATGCTAAAGAGGAAAAGATCAGTGCTGCCGTTTCACAGAGAAGAGTAAGTGAAATATCAGGGTCAAACCTGATTGAATTCAATCCTTTCAAAAAACATCAGACAGAGCGGCAGATATCTCATTTGTAAAACACCCCGTCCCCATGGTGATCGTCCCATTGAGGACACCATACACGTGGCCATTGGGTACCAAGTATGTAAAGAAGGGACTCGTGGGAAGAATGGCAGAAGGTATTTAAAGGTAGGTTTATTTGGGGGGTGGGGCTGACCACTGAGCCCCTTCCCCTGCCCCATTTTGTATTTTATTTAGAGACTCAGTCTCACCGAGTTGCTGAGCATCTCACCTTTGCGGAGGCTGGCTTTGAACTCACCATCCTCCTGTCTCAGCCTCCCTTTATGGAAGTTTTAACCCAGGACAACACACCCATCAATGAATAACTGGAAGCCAAGGGAGAAAGCTCCGCAGCCCCTCCCTCAGGAAGGACCCAAACCGCCCAACCCCTTTCCAGCCAGAGAAGTGCAGGGGGCCCAGGGCCCAGGGGAGAGCTCACCTGGAACGTTGTGGATGGTGATGGCCAGGATGAGCAGCAGGATCCTCCTCCAGCTGCTGCCACTGGGCTGGGCTGGGCTCCCGTGGGAAGGCGCCAGGTGGGCAAGGCCCTCGGGAAGGCTGGCGGCCACGGCCTTCCTCCTCTGGTAGGCCTCGCCGTTCTCACTCTTGTCTGAACAAAGAGAACAGGGTGGGGAAAGAGGCTTTGAAAATGTGCAGGCGGAACCCTGAGCAAGGGGCCCAAGAGGAAGCGCCCAGCAGAGGACATTCTGCTTCCAGACTGCGGCAGACCTGGTGTCCTGATGGCCATTTGCCCCCTCATACAGTCATCCAGCAAACACCCTTCAAACACACGCTCAGGGCCGGTGCGGAGGTACTAGGGAAGGTGAGGAAGATGAAGATGTGCCCCCATGATGCCCGCTGAGACCCTTGACGGTGACACCGACAAGGAGCACAACATCTGGAACCAAATCACCTGGTTTGCTTCCTGACGGCCTCTCCTAGCTGTGTGGCACTAAAATAGTTGTCAACCTCTCTGTGCTATAGTTTCTGATTCATAAAAAAGCAACACCAGTAGGGATTTCAACGTGGTTCTACAAGGATTCAGTGAGGAATTGCAGAAGGTTCCAGAATATACGGACGTGTTGATCGCTATTGTGGGTGCTGTTCTCGCTCTCTCCCCCAGACCTACAGAACTGCAGCCCCTGTGGCCCTACCCCTTCCCTGGTCACCCACCTCACAGGGACCAATTCAGGTCAGACCCAGCCCATTATGCTCCCTTCCCAGGGAGACGAGGTGACTCCTGTGCTGTTGGGGAGGGGGAGTGGAAGGCCATGTGACAGGGGCAGCTATGCCAGGATGGACCGAGGTGGCAGGTGGACATCAGCAAGCAGGGAAGGGAAGCCGCGCTGCCCAGGTCCCGCGGGACACGGGGGCCACCTCACCACCCAGCCCTGGGGTGTCAGGCGCCGACCCTCGATAGTACAAACTCCCTCTTTGGTTTATTTTGGGTCCTTTCCCAGGGCCGGAGGGACCTGCACCCCCAGGCACCTTGGGTTATTCCTTTCTCCCCACACCGGGGAGGGGGGTGGGCTGAATCGGGGACAAGGAGGCAGCAGAGCATCAGGCTCTGGCTCCCAGGGTGGCACAGCTGTGGGGGCCTGCACTGTGACAGGGAGGGGAGTCTGGTGGGCTTCATCAGCTGTCAGGTGCCCAGAGCACACGGTGCAGCATTGGGCACCACTGAGCCCTGTGCCTTCTCCCAGAGGGTGTGGTTTCCCCTTCTGGTGGCCCTGGATGGCACCAGGGCCTCCCGCCTGCTGGGCCAGCGCTCTGCCATGGAGCCACACCCCAGGGCTCATAGTGCCCTTCACTCTCGAGTGTCCCCGTCTGGGGGAACCATTCTATGTCCCTGACCGTGACACATGCAGAAGCCTCGTGTGTGGACTTGCCAGGGACAGCGTGACAGCCCTCGCCCAGGACCCTGGAGTGCAGACACTCCACTCACAGAACGTCCAGGGAAGGAACCGCTCGACCCGAGCCAGGAGTTGGAGGAAAACTGTCCCAAGAAACAGGAGCCGCCGGAGCCTCCTTAGCCTCCACTGACCATGGGCAGATGGGTGGCCCAGCCCCTGTCCCCAGGGCACCGAGGACCTGGTTTGTCTCATCCCCTGGGGCGCTGCTTTAAAGAGCACAGTCCCACCACAGGAAAGTGCACCTGGGATTCCCTTCAGGTGACCCGCCCGACAGGACAGGAACGCTGCTGCTTTGTATTTCAAAGACATGAAAAGGGGAGACACTCCCTTCTTCTGAAAATCCTTGTGTCTCCTGGAATCCAGCAAACGCAGCTTGAAGACCAAGAAGGTGCCAAAGCAGGTGGACCCCCTGCTGCTGGGCTCTCAGCCAGCTCGCCCGCCCGCCCGCTCGGTGCCAGCCTGCAGTAGCCAGGAGGCCCAGCTCACAGCTCTGGCCTCTGGGGAATGTGACCATCTCAAGTGGACAGCCACTGCTCTCAGGCCGTCTGGGTGGCAACACACCACACGTGAGGAGGTGTGCACACACTGATACATGCATGTGGGTACCTGTGAGTGGCACGTGGGACCCTCTTTCTGGACGGGGACACCAGGCAGCCCCTTGCCTTTTGCACATGTGTGTTTTAGTTACACACGGGTCGGGAGGGAACTGGAGGACTCAGAGGCTGGTGGGGAAATGGCTAAGCACTCGGTCAGCAAGCCCAAGAGTACTGGGGACAGGAGCATGGCGTCCACAGCAGCGTGCTCAGCTATCCTGGATTGAGCTCCCGAGTCCCCACGTCCCCTCTGAGTGCACTGGCCTGGGCCTGTCTGCTCTTTAAGTGGCAGCTGATAAGGAGCAAAAAATAATCTTTTCCTTTACAGATGTACAGCTTGAGAGCCGACAGACAGGAAGGCAGGTAAACGCCTTACATCTGGGGACCAGGAACGCACACCCTGAAGCAAGCCTAGGGCTGCACTTGCCATCACTAACGTCACAAGAACATCTGACCCCAGATCCAGGCAGGTGATGCACAGAAAGCCAGGAGGAGCCACCGGCAGGGCCAGCCCCCCAACTGTGTCTAACAGGGACATGGAGCCGCTCTGGACTCGAGGTCCAACACGTGAAGACTGACATCCATGTCTTCCCTTGAGGCAAACAGGAGGGCAGGACACCCAAGGCACTCGTGAAAGTTAAATAAGCCACCACCTGGTAGCAGCCACTCATGAGTCTGCAAGGAGGAAGCCTGGTCCAAATGAATCGTCATGGACAGCCAGGTGCCCCTGGAGCAGCCCGCCTTCCTGGGAAGGCTACTTGGACAGCACTGCCTGTGGGCAGAGGATGACTAGTGTGTGGGGCTGAGAGCCCATGGGCGTGTGCCAGAGGGGAGTGACAAGGACCACACGAGAGTTCCTGAGAACAGGGGGCGGGACCTCGCCACAGCACACGTGGCCCTGTAGGCACAACCACCCCAGAGGTCAGAATCCCTGCCCTGTTACATGCTGTCCCTGAGGTCCTCCCCAGTGGTGCCAAGTCATCTTGAAGGACAAGGTCACAACCCACTCTCCAGCAAGGCATACGCACGCGGTTTTGAAACAACATTTGACTCCTTCTGGATTCGAGGACCTCAGGCTGGGAATATCGTGAAAGTCAAATTCCCCTGCAGTGGTGACTGTCCCTCATCAGGGGTGGACACAGGAATATGAGCACACTGTCCCTGGGACAGTGGGACTACCTAAGTCCATCTCTGGAGACGGACGCTCAGGCCTCCAACAGGCCAGCAGTGCTAGTTAACCGACAGTATCCTAGAGAGCGCTCCAGCAGCACCACCAGCCGCCACTGGAGGCGATTCGGCTGGATCAGCACAAGGAGGCGAATCCTCACCTGCCAAGTGCAGACAACTTCAAACTCCCCAGGAAGATACTTCCTTTCTAAACCCCTGATGTGAAAGATACAATGAAGAGAAGCCCGCTGTGTTCACCATGGACCAGGGGCACACAAACCGCGCCACAGAGCCAATCAAAGGCAGGGAAGACGAGCATCCGCCCACTCAGTCTTCTTTCCTTCTTGTTGCCCAGAGAATCAGCATCGTTTAGGGGAAGAAACAGAATTACCAATGTGAATTGCAAGGGTGTCTGCAGAGAATTTGGTTTTGGTCTTTAATTATAGTTGGGATTAGAAGGACTTTCCTTATGACTAACACTGAATTTGAACATGAGATGATTACTCAACAGTGGCTCGTGTTGACCATGGCATCTAAGAAACTAAGGCCCATGGACACCGTCTTGACTGTCACATGGAAACTTGAGGCAGAGCCAGGGAAGCTCTCCTGGATCCCAGCAGAAGACCCCCCTCATTCCAAGACACCCCAAACTAAAGCCCACGGCAGTCTCCAACCTCTCCACAGCTGCCACCATTCCCTTTTGGCAGAGCTATAAAAATATAACTCCACTGAAGCGCGCTTTCCAGAGAGAACAGGGCCCCGAGACCTAATGCAGTTGCTTCCATTTGTCCAGCTCTTGCATGGTGATGCTCTGTGAGTCAGAGTGACGCCGTGGTCGGGGGAACTGACAAGGGACCACACCGTCTGCTATTAGCCATAAAGCTGCACTTGGGAGATGCAGGCTCTGTGCCTCAGTTTCCTTGTTGTGTAAAATGGGATCAATGAGTCATTCCAACTTAGTGACGTTGTGAGTTGAAACATGTGGGCGCACTGTCCAAACGCTAGGTTCACAGTTTCCTATTCTGCTGTTTCACTTTAAACTATGGAAGTATTTTCTAAATGTCTTAGTTTCTGTGACTCTGACTTGTAATGGCTCTAGAGCATTTACTTATATGAACCCATTATTTGCAAAACAGTTTCTTTTCCTATTCACGTTCAGTCGTCTTTTTCCTCTCCCAAGTGCTAAAAAATGCAGTTCCAGTCTCAGGCCACTTGGGGGCATACTCTTTCTGCTCCCTCCCACTCGTAATGGGAATCCACTTGGAAAAGCTGCTTCTACATATGACATCAGGCACTGGTTCTTTGTATTACAACTTCATGAATCATACATGCCACTGGGACATGTAAAGTGGGCTGAACCTACTCCAGGAAATGGAGCTCAGCACATGGGGAGCTGTTCTTCCTGTAGGGAGGGGGGGGGGAATCTGCACAAAGACCCTTAATTCTTTCATGCACCTGGTTGTAACTAAATACCCAGCAGCAATTCATTTCCTAAAACTGAACCACGGGGAGCTGTATCCCATGTGCATTTTTACAAATGCAAAGGCAAGTACATGCATTTAAAAATGAGTAAGAAAATCCTCCCAATTAATCCCTGTCCTAATTCCACGTTTAATTGCTTCTTCAAATTAATTTCTGCCTGGTCTTTGCAGAAAAGGGGAGGCTTCCGCAAAAATGGGGACAAAAAAAATGAAAGAAGTTGATTCTTGGCTTTTGATCTTCTGGAGGGTGTTAGGACTTCTACTGGCTCAAAGAACAACATGGATTTTTTTTAAAGGGGTGATTTTGACTCTCCAATACTTTTGCCTTAAATTTGGTCTTTAGAATCCAGCGGGAGCTTGAGCCTGTGGCCAGACTGTCAGGCACAGGGAAGGTGGGCTGGCTGCAGAGTGGCCAGAAACACAGTCTCTGGCTGAGATGCCGCTGATGCCTTCCCC